TTAAACATGTGCTTTTATGATGTTAAATTATCCTATGTAACTCCCTTAAACTTTAGAAATTGAATTAGGTATAAACTATAGTGTTTAGAAGGATTTTAAAGTGATTCCCGAACTTATAAATAGGTATTTCTAGGCTTAGGTATTGATACTTAAAGAACAATATTGATACCATATAAACTGATGAAGAAATCTAAGCAATTTCAACCAAGGGTATAGATATTATTCATCCAATATCCATAATGGGTTAGGTTTCGATACTAAGGAAATTCAAGGAATATTCTAATATTGATATTAGCCAAGGTTATCGATACCATAAGCTTGAATATAGATACCCTCAGCTTAATATAAATACTCCATGCTCTGAAAATCAAGTTGAAATTCAAGTTTAACCATGATAAAGGCTTGTAATATGAATGGATGAATCGTAATAGGAAGACTTAGCCTATGGGAGGTTTAAATGATTAATCAAGATTAAAATACCCTTGAGAGTGGTAAATGTCCAAAATACCATTGGTAGGTAAGAATATATAGGAGTGCCTTTATAAGTCCCTATATCAAAAGAGAGTGATTAATCGATGATGCATAAGGCATCTCTAAAGTCAAATGGTAAACTGGGGGAAACTGGGATTGAACACGAGTAGTGATTCACTAATGAAGACCTAACCTCAAGTTGAGTATCATGCTAAACGAATAATATACCATGTGAATAACGATAATGTTTAACGTCTTATATACCATAAAATATTAAAAGATAAATTTATCCTTGTATGTCATTCTAGATGAGAGAACGATTATGTAGGAATAAAATAGGAAACAACCTCACCTGATTTTGTCGACATCGATGCCTAAGTTATAGAGTTATCTATTCTGGCCTTGTGAGCTAATGATTGATAGGTGTGGCCTATGAACACCTATGCATGTTTCATGATAATGATTATTGGATATTCATGATGTTTGACTTGACTGCTATGGTGATATCGAGCCAGTGCAATATATTGTGAGTGGGAATTTTATCGAGACACGTGTGACACCAAGTTTCCCTCTATGATTTATAGTTGATGTTATGATGAGACTAGTCATTGATGCATTAATTGATTTGTGAGGATTTTACAAAGGCATATGTGATTGCGAGTTCTACAATTCATGATTAGTACCTAACTAATTTTGTGACACTCGTACCAGATACTTAATCCCTGATATAGACTCAAACATGATGATAAATCTTGATCTAAAACCTAAACAATACCCGAAAGAAAAATCAATTCAAAATTTATCTGGATCAATATGGACCTATATCTAATTTAACCCGAATCAAAATGAACCATAATAAAAAAAAAACTCAAATTGAAATAACCAGAACCAAAAGTAACCTAAAATAAATTTAACTCAATCCAAAAGTAACCTGAATCGAAATTAACTTGAACCAAAACTAACCTAAATCAAAAATAATTTGAATCGAAAGTAACCCAAACTAAAAGAAATTCAAATTTAATTTAGCCAAATTCGATCCGAACTCAACATTAACCTAATTTTTAACGGCAAAAATGCCAGAATAATGCATGTGGGGAATATTTTTTCCCCAACTAATGCCCTTTGCCTATTATTTCCCCAAATGGGGTGAAATATACAGTGCTCAATGTGGTTCTTTGGATATCTCGGTGTTTTTAGGGTTAATTTTTCCATGATTGCTTTCTCGGCGTCTTTCGGGTTATGAAACTATGGGAATGCTCGGCGTCTTCAAGCAATTGGCCTGTGGGATATCTCGGCGTCTTCTGCATGCTACAAGGAATGCCAAGGTGGATCTCTCGGCGTCTTCAAGCAATTGGCCTGTGGGATATCTCGGCGTCTTCTGCATGCTACAAGGAATGCCAAGGTGGATCTCTCGGCGTCTTCACCTGTCGTCTGGCGGAATCTCTGCATTACTCTCTGAATCGTGCATGCATTCTGGGGGCTGAACGTCTTCATCTCTGCATGCATGCAGAGTTGATTTAACAGTTGAATATAATAATAGGAGTGCTCGGCGTCTTTAGTTAATAGGGTTACAGGGGCGTTCGATTTCCCGGCGTCTTAAGCTATACATGGAGAATATTTGGTTGCAGGTGGTCGTGATATCTCGGCGTCTTCTTCTTCCGAGATTCGTTCTGCATGCGCCTGTCTTTTTTGTGTCCGAAGCGTGAGATTTGTCTGAAGCGTGAGACTAATAATTTACTCGAAGTCTTCAATTACTTGTTATAAAATAGGGGTGGGTATTGTATTTCATTGCATGCAGTTGGTTTTAACTTACAGAAGCAAGTGAGGGATTTTTTTTTGCATTAGATTCAATTGAAGATGCTGCTTGAAGTGATATTGGAGATTTTTGTTGGTTCGGTAATTTTTCGAGCTTTGGTTTAACGTCGTTCAAAAACACGTAAGTTCTTTCTCGTTTCCCATGCGAACTCTGTTTTTTTCGTGTTGAAAGAATGCTCATATATGTTAGGAGAATGATACATTTAAATTTTGTTCATGAGACCATAGTAATGTAATTTAGAGTACTAATGATAATTTAAAATTAGAAAATGTAAGTTTGATGATTAGGTATACAGAAAATTTAAGTTTGAGTATTATTGTTAATTTAAATTTTCGTGTAATTTTTAGTTGTATTTTTATATAATAATTATTAGAATTTTTATTTTGATTTAGTGGGAAAAAAATTCTCATTATGTAATCCTGATATTTTTACCGTAATAATAATGTATTTAAGTATTATTTTTATAAAACAATTGTTAACATAATTTATATTTATTATAGTTTTGTAAATAATTAATTTTCATTACATTATTAATGTAATTTATTCTGAATATCTATATTTTTACGTGTAGAGAAATGAGCAACAAATTTTTCACGATTTTCCATTACAATGGACATATGATGGAAAATGAGGTCGGAGTTATTTTTTAGTCTGAAACACCTATAAATATGATGTTTAAAAGGGACATCACATTTGCAGAGATCAAGGAGAGGATAGAAAGAAAAATACGTGCTAAAGTTGATGGTTTGAGGTACAGATTTATGGTATGTCCCAATCCGGTCAGGTATGCTGCAGTACCACTTGAAGAAGACGATGATATTATAACTATGGTTGAATTACATGACTCAACAAATATTCCAATTATTGAGTTATTTGTTGAGTTGTGTAATATATCTAATGTGCCTGGGTCATCAATAAATGCGGTTGAAACTTCATCTCAAATGGGTTTCGAGAGTCATTTCGATAACCAAACATATAGGTCGATGAACAGCTTTGTGGCGATGTTGGAAAGCGCAAATGAAGTTGGTGGAACATCTGGAGCCGCAGAGTATGATGCTGAAAACCGCTGGGAAGAAATACTTGAAGATTCCAGTGAAGATGAAGAAACTGAGGAACCTCTTTTGGCTGAGGATGATGCCATGTTCCATGGTGATGAAGCTGATATCAATATTGATGAATATTCGACATCGTATCAACCTACCCCTCACATGCAGGAGATTGATTATAAAGCAATGAGGGCACCTGAATTCCCAGAGATGCCACATTTAACTTCAGGCTATATGATTGAATTGTCCGATAACTCTGGTGAATTAGCAGTTGGGAAGCAATACAGAGGAAAAAAAGAAGCTACACTAGCGATTAAAGAGTATTGCATAAGAGGCCATGTAGATTGCAAGACTGCAGAGTCCAACCAGAAAACTTTGTACGCAAAGTGTGTTAAATATGGGCCCGAGTGTAAATGGTTGATCAGAGTGTCCAAAATGCAGAGGCAAGATGCTTGGGTCATCACAAGGTACAATGGTCCACACACATGTTTGCAAAACTCTATCGAACAAGACCACCGACTACTGGACTCCGATGTAATTTGTCAATATGTGAAGGTTTTGGTTGAACAAAATCCAAGGATCCCTTGCTCGGTGTTAGCTGCATCTATTCGAGACCAGTTCGGATACAATGTAAAATACAAACCCGTGTGGCATGCGAAGGAGAAGGCAAGGAGGTTGATATATGGCGATTGGGATACATCATACAATGAGTTACCTGATTTGTTACGAGCTATGAAACAATTCATACCTGGAACCATCGTGAAGTCTCAGACCATGCCTGCATACGACCGAGAAGATCAACTTGTTCAAGGGAAGAGAATATTCCATAGACTCTTTTGGGCATTCAAGTCTTGCATAGAAGGTTTTCCATTTTGCAAACGTATGGTCCAAATAGATGGTACGTGGTTATACGGTCAATACAGACATATATTATTGATAGCAGTTGCGCAGGATGGTCAACGAAATATATTCCCAATTGCATTCGCCATCGTTGAAGGAGAGACAACAGAGGCTTGGGACTTCTTTCTCAATAATCTACGTAAGTATGTCGTCCGAGAAGAAGGAGTTTCCTTGATATCCGATCGAGGAACTGGCCTTTTGGCAGCAATTGAACGACCAGGAAGTCGTTGGACACCTCCGCACGCATATCCCGCATATTGTATCCGTCATATTGGTAAGAATTGTATTGAGAAGTTTCATAACGGCCGTATTCGTAGGGAGATAGTCAGCATGGGTAAGTTTTATTTTCAGCATTTGTACTCATTTATGTGTTTGTTTATAAATTGACTTTAACACAATATCTATTTTGAAACAGACATACTTTAGGTTGGCTAAAGTTTGGTCTGATAAAGGGAAAGAGATCGAGTGTCTGATAAATCGAGGTAAAATCTGGGCTCCGGCGGTGGTAGAAGCAATGGAAGCAAATGAGCGTATGGCAACCTCAATGTTTGTTCATGACTTCGATCGAATTGGACATACTTTTGTTGTCATCGCATGCATACGTCGCAACGAAGGAGCAGATCGAGAATCATTTACTGTTAATTTACGACAAAGATGGTGTGATTGTGGCCGCTTTCAGGCGTGGAGATATCCGTGTGCTCATGGAAGATGAAAAGTATGAGTTTCTGGTCTCCACCTTTCAATTAATGCACTTATCAAACCGGGGATCAACCGAAATTCTCTTACAAAAGCAACATCATAAAAACCCACTGTTTTCAAATTATCAACAATACGTTGATCTGGCATCTCACAGTTGATAAGTCGAGGACGAAGGACTCGTTGTTCTTCATCCTGCAATTTAGTAGTCATTGTAATTAGAATTAATACACCGTTCTCAAATAAAAAAAATAAGTCGATCATATTACCAGTTCTCCCAAATTACTCAAAATGTGTCGACCATCTAGCCTCAAAAGAACATTTTCTTCGGCCATGTTTCAACAAATCTAGACAAAAAAAAATTAAATATTACACTCAATTATTACATTGTTTTATTCAAATAATCAATTGCATGTTATCTACTTTAATAAAAAATAAACATCAAATATAAAATGATCCCTAATTACTATTTGCTTCTCAACATTTTCAAACTTTGCAATTTAATCACTAAATTTATAAATTCTTTCAAATTTAACCAATTAAGCATATTAATACTAAATTCAAGCATAGTATACCAACTTTTTATAATTTACACTAATTTCTTAAATTCCTCAAATTTTGCAAAACGATCCCTAATTACTATTTGGTTCTCAACATTTTCAAAGTTAGCAATTTAATCCATAAATTTTAAATTCTTTCTAATTTAACCAATTAAGCATACTAATACTAAATTCCAGCATAGTATAGCAACTTTTAATAATTTACTCTTATTCCTTAAATTCCTTAAATTTTACAAAATGGTCCCTAAAACTTTACAATGTTCCAAAATGGTCCCAACCTTATTTCAAATTATGTAACAACATATAAATTATTATTTCATAGTGTAACAACATATAATCACAAAATTAATAAACTTATGAAACTAAAATTATGAGATCAATATGAAACCCTAAACCTTTAAAACAAGAATCAAATGAGATATAAGGCTTGAGTTTAAATTACCTCAGGCTATGCTTTGTGATCTTACTGCTGATCAATCTCCCTCTCAAGCTCTCACTGCTTCTGTAATTGTGAATTGCCTCAGCCCCAAACTCTCACATTGCCTCAGCCTCAGCCCGAGCATCTCTTATAAACACATTCGTAACTCATCCATATTTATTTGTTAAGAAGACGCCGGGCTATCCAGCTTTCCATGCAAAGACGCCGAGAAATCCTTACCTAAATGTAAAGAAGACGCCGAGAAATCCAACAGTTGCATGCCCCCCACATGCAGACGTGCAGGACCCCCACATGCAGACGTGCAGCCTTGCAGGACCCAGGACCCGTGATTTCTCCTTGCAGAACCCGTGCTCTCTCCTTGCAGAACCCGTGATTCCCATCAGACGACAGGTGAAGACGCCGAGAGATCCACCTTGGCATTCCTTGTAGCATGCAGAAGACGTCGAGATATCCCACAGGCCAATTGCTTGAAGACGCCGAGCATTCCCATAGTTTCATAACCCGAAAGACGCCGAGAAAGCAATCATGGAAAAATTAACCCTAAAAACGCCGAGATATCCAAAGAACCACATTGAGCACTGTATATTTCACCCCATTTGGGGAAATAATAGGCAAAGGGCATTAGTTGGGGAAAAAATATTCCCCACATGCATTATTCTGGCATTTTTGCCAATTTTTAACATGATAAATGAATAAAAGTGAATAAATGATTTATTGTTCTTATATATATTTTTAACAATGTGATGAATAATAAAATAGTGCATGTTTTATTATCTTTTTACATTATAATACTAGTTAAGCATCACCTTTCTTATTCATTTAATGACCACCAATATCACTTTCAGGGGCCTACCTAGTCCATGGCCCACCCATGCCAAAAAATGGGTAAATTCCTCATTTAGTCACTTTTTATTTAGTTTCTATTTTTGTCACTCAACTATTATCTATTTTAAATCACACTTAATGTTATATTTTAGTTTTGTTTTGGTCACTCGTCTTTAAAAGATTAGAGGTGATGTTAAAGTGTCATCATAAGATAATATTGTCTAAAGATTGAAAAATAATTAAAAATATCATTTTAACATATTGTTATTTCTTTAACGGTGAGTGATCAAAACAAAATCAAAACGTAAGGTTAGATATGATTTTGAAAAAAATAATAGTTAAGTGACCAAAATATAAATTAAATAATAGGTGGGTGGCCAAATAGTTAATTTACCCTAAATAAAAAATATGTATGAATTATGTTAAAAATTTATATTGGCCCAATTAATATATTTTCTAGATTTAATCTAAATATATATAATTTGTTGTTATATTTTTAAAATAAAAATATATATGAATTATTTTAAATAAAATTTTTATTATATTTATATTGGCACAATTTATAAAATTTTCTAGATTCGTCACTTATCACCTTTGATTATAGTTTAATGCTTTAATATCATTTTCTCATGTTTAAAAGACCATCTCCATATTTGATCTGATAATTGACCTAACCCGATAATCAACCTGACTTACCATACACCTGAACTAAATATAAACTAGATTCGATCTGGCCCGAACAAAATTAAACTGAATGTAATCAAGACCCGAAATGACCTGATCCAAACTCGATCTGAATAACCCGTTTGTCATCTCTAATTGTGTATATACATGTGGTTGATGTGTGACCTCTGTTTCGAAAAACCGAACCAGACCGGCCGGTTCAACTGATTCAACTGGGAACCGTTGCTTAGTTCGGTTCAATCTAAACCAGTTGAACCGCTATTAGTGAATCGGCCAGAACCGCTGAACCGTTCGAACTGGTGAACCGTTCGAACCAGACCGGCTGAAAACCGGAAAAAACTGAGAAAAATCAGGATTTTTGTTTTTTTTAAATTAAACCAAACAACGTCGTTTGTTAAACGAGCCAAGTCGAACTCGAGTATTGCTGAGCTCGACTCGAACTTGAAAACTTTAAAAGTAAGCTCAACTCAACTCAAAGTCACAAGCTAAAAATTATCAAGTTCAACTCAAACTCGAAATATAATATTGAAACTTGAACTCAAAAAGGCTTGAACTCAAAAAAAATTTAGAAGCTCGATTGAAGCCTAAAATTCGAGCTTGATTGAAGTGAAAGAATAGTTCACTCAATGCTCACCAAAAGGCTCAATGATTTTGAATGCCAAATTACCTCTATTATTTATAGAAGTTAGTTGTGATGCTCTTCTATGTTTCTTAGCAATGTGATATTGTTTTGTTATCATATTTTTACTCTTTAGACTTTTGGGATGCTCTTCTATGTTTCTTAGCCATGTGAGATTGTTTTTAAAAAAAAATTAAACCAAACAATATCATTTTGTTATGATTTTTTAACCCCAAATTTATTTTTTAATTATAGTTATATAATTATATTTATTTTTTAATATGTTTTACTTAATTATTATGTTGTAGTTAATTTGAATCATTTTGTTTTACTTGATTTTATGATTTTTAACTTATATATGTTATGACTTGCTTTGAATATGACTTGTGATATAAAAAATTATTTTTTATTAAATATTTTTAGTATTTTTATTTAATTTTTTAAATAATTATGACGTCGTCCGGTTCTTCTGATCGGTCGGACCGGTTCGACCGGTTGAACCAGTGAACCGATAGCATGACCGGTTCGCTAACCGGTCCGGTTCTGAAAACCATGTGTGTGACTCGCATGATTTTAATGTTAGAGACCGAAACATATTCATGGCTAGCCCCTTAGTTATAGAGTAGGGAAAGCATGAGAATAATACTATTAGGAAGGCAACCTGATGAACATTAAGAATGTAGTACTTGGATTTATGAATTATGCATGTACTTACTGTTTATTGTTATTTCTACTAGCATACGTATGTTTATGATATTCATGATGTGTAAAATAGATTAGTGATATACTACTAAGCTTTATAAATCTCAGTATTCAAATGTTTTCGATCACAGGTTAGTAGTTTGAGCTTGTTCGAGGAGCACCTTCACAATAGGATTTCTAACACATTCGAGAAGAGTATAATACTATTATTTTTACTAGGCATGTGTATTTATATGACCATTATTCATGTATTTCAGTCTATAAACTATGAGTTTTATATTATTTTATTTTAAACTATGTGATATGGAGCTTTGGTTTGTATAAATATTTTATAATTTTTATGAATGTCGTATTTTGTTGAACTATATTATGATTTGATTAGGAAATGAAAAAGATTTTAAATAATGATTGTCTTGGTAATATAATGTGGCATCTCAGAACCATCTAATGGTGATCGAATTTAGGGTGTTACATCCATGGTAACGACGTTGTGGTAGTGATGTTTGAGAGATGTTGGCCAGCTTCTCCATCCATGTGTTTGGGCTGCTGCTTCGGCTGCAGCTATATTGGGCCTGAATTGTGGGTAGGCAGAGAGATCTTGGCTCGTGATAGCAAAGTTTTGGTCAGTGCCACCTACTCGATCCCACGCTCATAGAAAAAGTGATTCGAGTAAGTAGAGTGTGTTATGCCATCCCCGTTATTGTTTGAGAGATCCTCGGATGAAATAAAAATTTTATAGCTTTTGTCCCAATCATTAGCCAAATATTACACAACATGTTGGAGACAATTTTAGGAAGAAAATAGTTGATGTTGTTGACTATTTGCCTTTTAGGGTGCATTTCAACTGATTATTTTATGATATGAGGTCTTTCATGTTCATCGCACCATTTGTTGACGGAACTAAATGAGTTGTAACAGATATTAACAGTTCACTCGTTCTGGTTTGAGATTAAAGCCGCAATCGATGAGGAATTGGTCGTTGGCTAATGTTAAAATGTTATGTCTTCGATAAGAGGTATAATATAGGAGAATAAGGATGAGGTGGTTTCATGGAGGTCTTATCCCATCTCTCGTTCATACTTGAAAGGTTTTATAATGGTCCTTAGTGCGTCTATTAGTCATAGAGTCATAATGGCTACTTGTAGACTAGCAGGCTAAGTGAATATGGTCAAATGGTGGTGGATTTGGCTCTGGTAGGTCACGTGGGCTTGTAAGAGGTCGTGTTAACTAATCACTACATCGTAAGGGACGTTAGATATGTGAGGTCCTTCCTCTAGAGATGTTCTTTATATGTCTCTTTGAGTTCCTCAAGTGTCAGATATACTTTTGAGTCCTGTGGAGGGTATAAGGCGTTATAGGTCAGCCAAGAACCTTTAGGAGGGTACATATCAGGTAACTTATTTAATCTCAACTATTGATACAAAAATTAGAGAATTACAAAAAATAAAATAGGAAATGAAATAGATTTTCAATGAAAATTATAAAATAGACTACTTAAGGAGCTAGGATTTTTACAACGGTGACAATTAAAATTAATTTATTATGTTATGGTTTTGTTTTTTTAAATATATTCCATTGTTAAATAATAATTTAATAAAAATATTATAAGAAATATATATATCAAAAGGTCTAGGAGTCCCTTACCAATGTTGATTCATGACGGAAAGCGACGAAGAGGAGCTTCCCACACTCATTCGAAACTTTCCCTCCGCCAAACTCACAAAAAAGTCGATAATGGCGATAGCATGGCTCATGGACAGTTAGACGACGGCGAATCAACGATGGCAGCTGGTATAGATAGAAGAGCTTTGGCGAAAGTTTGGGAACCTAAGGATCTGAATAGAGGAAATTGAGTTTTATACCTTATTTATGTCGTTTTACTGGGAAATAATGTAAAATTTGGCTAGGGTAATTTATAGCCTAAGGGCGTCGTAGTGCAGTTAGTAAAGGGCTTGGTTCTCGCTTATAAGGTCGCAATTCAAGACTTAATAACCCCTAAACCAATCCTTCTCTTGTTTATTCCTTGCAACAAGAGAAGTTAAGGGAATAATCCCACGTAAGATCCTCGAACTTTTACCCCAGTTCACGGATTAGGCTAATAATTTTAGGAAAATGCAAATTAACACTCGATTACAGAAAATAAAATTTTTAGCCTCAGATTGGAGAGTGTGGCATTCAAGGCTTGAGAAACCCTATCTTACAAAAGGGTAGAATAAAAGAACAAGCTCAATCGATTCCATTTCCTCCTCACATATTGCCATAACTGCTTCCAACATCTCTGTCAATTCATTAAATTATGGTGAATGGTACAACACTCTTCTACAATATGTT